CTAATACCTTTTCAACATTATTAGTTATATCTTTTCAGTCTCCTTAAGTAGTTCATTTTATGGTGCCACTTGTGACAGTGTTGATATTTGATTTGATCTTATGTTAAAACATATCATTTTAACCACCAAATTGACACTTCTCTGTGTAGATAAACAAAACTTTTTTTTCACCAAAATGTTTCCATTTAGTTTTCTTTTTCAGAAAAGCTCATTTCCCTACTTGCTAAAACTGCTACTGTTGTTTTTTCTCTTTGTCTTCCATATCTGACCCATCAGTTCTCTATTGTCATTCTCAAAAGTAATACCTGAACACATGAGTTTGCCCCACTGCTGCCTACCATCATTTCTAACATGCATAACTCAAATGTAGTATCTACTAATCAATTTATAATGGTTTTCAATTTTGTATATTCTTTCCCTTTTGTATTTTCTAATTCATTTAATACAGAGTACACTGAATAAAGTTGTGAAATTGTACTTTAAATCATGTTTCATGTCAATTCATTTTTCAAAATTCAACCATTTTAGGGCCTGGAGCAATAGCACAGTGGGTAGGGCATTTGACTTGCACGTGGCCAAACTGAGTTCAATTCCCAGCATCCCATATGGTTCACCCAAGCACTCTCAAGAGTAATTCCTAAGTGCATGAACCAGGAGTAACCCCTGTGCATTGCTGGATGTGACCCCCCAAAAATCAACTATTTGATTTTCATGATTCTATTTTGTAAACGTAAAAATCTCTGGCCCCTCCTTATCACTATGAATTATTTTCCATATTTTCCTTTGCTTTCTTTACACTTAACACCCCTGGTCTTTTTTCTTGATAGTTCTTAGTGACCTCTTTTTTGGGAGAAGCACACTCAGCAGTGCCCCAAAGTTACTCCTGGCTGTGTGATCAGTGCTTTCATTAAGCAGAGATCGGGGGAGTATACGGATTCATAAGGAACAAACCGTAATAGGTCCTCTTCAAAGTAAGCATTTTACCCACTGTAATATTTCCACTCCCCTTTTCTTCATAGTTCTTAACAGGACAGTGACATCCATTGGAGGCCTTTCTAAACTCTGTGGATGTGTCTTTGCTTGTAGCAATGTTTGGTGTCATTACTAAAAAGTGTGTGGTTCATTAATTTCAGATGAGAGGACATTCTGTAAAATGGAACAGCTCTGCACCCTACATAACTTTTAAATATGCTCTCAGGCATTCATGCAATTTTAGAAAAGCTAGTTACAATTATTTGGAACAAAATTTTAGTTTCATTTTACATGTAAAATCAAAGTATTTTTGCATGGTTTTAATATACCCAACAATTTCTAGGAATGAAATGATGCTTTAAATTGAGAAAAGATTGTAATCTGCTTTGTTAAAACCCCATCAAAAGTTGCTCACAATTTCAGGAAAATCACATCATCACCAAAGGCAACGCCATTTGTGGTATTTGAGTTGCCAATACAGCACACCTGTACCTTACTCCATTTGTAGTTGTCAAATTCATGCTAATTCTAAGTATAGACGCAAACATCTGACTACTTCATATGGCTTCTTGTTATTATACCTGAGCATTTTACAGAGAGATAATACCATTTATACAAGATTTATTTTAAAGTTATATCATAATAAGGCATACTAGTATTTTTGAAATTATTTATGTAAATATTATATATCATAAATAAACTTAATTTTAGGACAATCAAGGGGATTCTTCAAACTATAACCTAAAGATAGTTTGGAACTAACTGATTTGAAAAAACTGCATCAACACTCTCAGTTTTATTATGCCAGGTGATCAAAGTACTGTTCCATTCTCCATACTCTTGAACAATGGATAAATTCCTTTTATGGATTATAGAAGGGTACTGTTACAGCTCTTGAATAAACTATTGTATCTATTTATAATTAATTTGGTAGAACTGTACACAAAACAGAGACTATAATTGTTTACCAAATCCCATTATTCTTTCTCATACAGTAGACAAAATAGTTCAGCAGTTTTTTGCCCTGAAATGTAGGGTCATAGGAATTTTTTTTTCAGCATGTAATGTTTTCAGAGTTCTTTTTTGTGTATAACTCTCATGTTCTGGGATTAGACAGAATGTGCTTAAACATTTTCCCTTTTTCTTTCCTAATTATTTCCTGTGAATTGCTGTTGTGGTAAAGTTATAGAAAGATTATGGGGCACCAGGGTATGTTACATAAAGAACTCTCCAAATATTCATGAAAACAGTCTGATAGTGAGCTGGACACTCATTTGTTTTGTTTTTAATTCTTATATTGGATAATGTTGATGATGTAAAATACGTTTATGCTCAATTTGCTCCTTTCTACAGGGAGGCTTTTTTTAAAAAAAATATAAAATAGCTTCAATAGGATTTCTCAATTCAGGTCTATTATTTTAGCAAAGAAAACTGGTTTTTACTGAAAGCAATTTACTTAAACAAATGTGAAAGGAGAGAAATAGAGAGTAATACCTGTTCAAGAGAGAACACAGGCTTCTCCAGTAGAAAAAGCAGACTTGCTTTTGAGATAAGGTTTGTTACAATTTTTCCATCTTGTCTTGACCTGGAAATTCAGGTCTAATTTTTCCTTCATGTTTTTGTGTTTCTTTGAGAATCTGGCATTGAGTTGTTCATAAGATATTATTCAGTGTTGAATACTTTTGCCCCTTGACAATTGGTATCTTTATATATATATATATATATCTTTATATATATATATATATATATATATACACACCTTGTAGTATTTCAGGCTGGAGCGATAGCACAGCGGGTAAGGTGTTCGCCTTACAAGCGGCCAACATGGCCGACCCGAGTTCGATCCCTCCGCCCCTCTCGGAGAGCCCGGCAAGCTACCGAGAGTATTCGATATGCCAGACACAGTAACAACAAAGTCTCCAATGGAGACGTTACTGGGCCCGCTCGAGCAAATCGACGATCAACGGGAGGGCCTTTACCTTATATATATACACATATATGTATATAATTTTTAGAATGGGTGGCCTCATACGAATTTAATGGCACAGAACTATTTCAAATCAAGGCGAGTGGTGTTTATGTAACATGCAAGATAATAGCCTGTGTAGCTGTTTTTGACTGATGGTAATCCATAGAGAAATGTTAATGAACAGAAGTAAAGAACATAAACACTTTGTTGCAGATAAAGGCTACAATGGCACACAGAGTAGAAGGATCATGTTGACACTGGGGGCAGGGTGCAAACCTCTATGGACTTCAGGTTACCCCAATGTTAACTCAAAGCCTATGAGATAAACTGACTGGGTTAAAGATATTAATGTTTTGTGGAAATCTCACTTGCCACTTTTTTTGTGTGGCTGGGGAGTCACACCCAGTGATGCTCAGGGCTTAACCTGGGATGCTGAGGCTTGAACCTGGGTCAGCCACATGCAAGACAAATGCCCTACCCACTGTATTATCACATAACTATTCTTAATGGGCTTTTTATATTCTCTTGGGCATATTCACTAGCTTAGGAACATTTGGATATTTTCCGAATAGGCAGATAGATAGTTTTAAAGGCATACTTATGAAATCATTTTGTGAGAGTGAAAATATCAATTAATCAGTGTGAATTTGCCCTGTGAAACTGATAGAACCAGTACTTAGGATTTCCCAGTTTATTCCTATCATTCAATTCTCTCATTCAAAACACTGATGTTCTTCAGAATTAGGTCCCAATTATCAAACTAAATTACCATCATTGTGCATTGTGTATTGGGGTTATGACTATCTATCTTCTCAGTTACAAACTTTAACTAGTATTGCAAATATTTCCTATGAAGAAAGTTTAGAGCAGTTCTATAATAGCTTTACTGAGAGAGGAATTTTTTGGTTAAATATTCATTATGTGACTTACTTTCCAAAGGTCTATGTTATATAAAATACCAGGAACACACACTTCAATACAAGATAATATTCTGAGATCTGATATTAATAACTTCATATAGTATCTACTCACAATAAAGTGTTTGTTTAAATGAGCTCAATCAACCAATTGTACTTACAGATTGCTCAATATTAAGGGAAAACAGAAATATTTAGGGATATTCTTTGCAATGGGTTAAACTAATTAATGAACATTTTTGTTTGTTTTGGTAAGGTGCTTAGGTCAGAGGAAATATAGAACAATAGAGGCTGACTAGCCAGTAAGCATAGTGCATTAGAATATGGGAACTTCTCATAAAATTCTGATTTGGAGGAAAAATATTTTAGGGATGGGCAAAGCAGGTGGGTGCTTACCTTGCACAAGGTTGACCTGACTTGATCCCCAGCATTTCATATGATTCCGCAAGCACCACCATGAGTAATTCCCTAGTGCAGAGAGAGGAATAAGCCCCAAGCACTGCCAAGTGTGACACAAAACCTAAAATAAACACATAAACAAATAATAAATTTAAAAATAATATTTTAGTGATTCCAGACTTCATTCTGGACTCACCCACTTCCCAGCTTTGTATGTGTAAACTCTTCTTTACATTTAACACTTACAGTGTCTCTCTCTCTCATTAATATCCTCCTTCACTTTAGAATTATATAGAGATAAATATTGCCTTTTTACATTAACGAACAATTCATAAAACAAATATAATTCACATTTATGGAGAACGAGATCAAATTCTTTATCTTTTGTGAAATACTAATCATACTTAATAATTCATAACACTGATACTGAATTAATATTTCTAATAAAAATATTATCACTGATAGTATATGGTAGAGTCAATGCCTTATTGTGGGCATTAAGTGCATTAAACTCTGTACAATATCTCCAGCCTCCACTAATTGTTTTATGAAATAAATTCCTCATTTATGCATAGGTGTATAAATCAAATCCAATGAAGAGTGAATGTATTTTTCTGTATATTCAGAATAGATCATAAATACTATTAAAAAGGAAGGATTGTAGCTAGAGTAATGTCTTTAGATTTTATCAGTGAGAATTGTTTAAAGATATTTTGTAGTTTCAAACCTTCTTTTTAAAAATAATTTATTACCATTATTTCTAAGACCCGATCTAAGTAGGTAAAGAATTAATTCTTGGGGTGTGTGCATAGTCTTACTATAGCAAATGTTTAGCCTGCTATTATTATTATAAAATCAGAGCAGCAAGAATATTTCAGTGTAATATCAAACTTTCTGAAAGAGGAACACACACTAAACACATTTTATAAGTGAATCAAAATGTCTAGATCTGTGAGATAGTATGGAGAGTAGGAAGGCACTGACTTGCATATGGCCAACCTAGGTTTGATCCCAGGCACCACATATGGTCCCCTAAGCCCCATCATCAGAAGTGATCTCTGAGCATAGCCATGTGTAAAAAAATTGTTTAGGAAATATAATAAAATAATTTCCAATGTAAAATGATTTTAACAAGAAAAATTTGTGACTCAGTTTAGACCTTAAACACTTTGTTTTAAAAACATGGCAATTTGAAGAATGGTATGGTTTTCTCCTATTTTGAAAGAATGCAGATTTCTGTTGGCAAAAGCCAGTTTCTGACTTAGGTAAATTAAACTCCAAGAATTGTCAGTGTAGGGTCAGTATTCTCATTTGCTTGACTTTGTATTTCTCATGGTCAACACAGATATAAAAGCATTTTAGTTTATTGTTAATACTTATTGAATAAATGAATGGTCAGTGAACCATGTTAATCTGTGTTTTCCTTATTAGCGGTTTTTTAGAAACAAATCAGTTTCTATGAATGAGTTTCTACAGAAAATTTATTATAAAAACTTATAGTGTCACTCACTACCTTGTGTTTCCAAATATTATATTATCCCAAAAGCCTAGTTACTTGAGATGTGAATTCTTCTGACACAGGTTTCTACTATTGTGAGTTCCCCTTGATTCTGGCTTCCTGGAAATTTAGTTTGTCAGTTCTAGTGTTTCCCCAGAACTTTGTCTTTAGAGCTACTGTAGCACTTTTCACACATAATTGCATTTACAAAAAATCTTTTACCAAATGCAATTTTCATAAAATTGTACATATGTGAGTTAGCTTTTGAACACTTTTCCACAATCAGGGGAATCTTAATTTGATTAATGTGCACCTGTTGGAGATAGTAAGAGAGAGAGTAAGGAGATGGGAATTTGAAAAAAGGAAAAAAAAGAAGTGAAGCAGGTGGCAGAGCAGAAGAGAGTTTTTTAAAATGCAACTTTTAGGGACATTAAAGTGATAGGAACAAAGTTAGAATTATGTTCCATTGATTGGAAGGTGGAGAAGTACAAGTTCTAGCAAGGAACTATCATGCACAGAGCTAAAGTTCTCTGAGTAGGAAGAATGATGGCTGAGATGTTCCTATTCGGTACTTATCTAAAGAAAAGTTCCCAGGGAGTTTACTGTCAAGTTACTATCTATGTTTTGCATCATCATGTGACCTACAAGGGAGGCTCAAGTCAAAGATCATGTGTCAAAGAAAGACATACAACTATTTAGAGTGTACTATGTATGGAAGGGGCAGAGAGAGGCATATTATCAGCCATGTGTGACACACACACACAGAACACACACACACACACATACACACAAATATATATGTGTATTGTTGAATTCACAGAAAAGATTGTAGTATGCTATCTTCAGCATTTGACTTTACAAAAATGAAAGTTTAGAATCATTTCGTAGCCTTATTCACTTTCTTGATAATTTAAAATTATTTATGAATTGTCTCATTGTGAAATTCCCTCACATGGAGCTGTGTAAACACCTTTGCTCAGGGATTACATATGAAAGGATGTTCCCTGGCTCTCCAGGTGGCTCTCTCTCTTCGCCCGCGTTCTGTGCTCTCCAGCCGCTTCCCTACCCAAGACAGCCCTTGCCTTGGATGGGAGAAGGAAGAACAAGGGCCAAACTGGTCGCTGATTAGTTGTTGTGTATTCTATCTCTTGTCTCTCCCAGCTCTCTCCATCCCTCTCTCTCTCCCTGTGCCTCCTGCAACCTTCTGTCCTCTTCTGTCTCTCCCTCTCTCTCTGTCTCAACCTTCCATCTGACTCCTCCAATCTACTTGTGTGTCTGTCACCATTTCTCTTCCTCTTTTTTCTCTTCCTCCCCGAAGCTGCTCTTTTTCTTCTCTCTCACCACGCCCCCCTAACCACGCCTCCCCAGGAGAAGTGCAATCAAAATGTTTTTGCAGTCTTCCTGACCACCTGTAGCCCACGAGGGCAAAACAGACCTTAAGGTGTGTTTCTCCTCTCCTTAGACCAGCAACTTAATTAACATCCTTAGTTCTCCTTCGTAATATTTACCATTTCATATGGACACAGTAATAGACACTTTTAGGCTTGTAGGATGACTCTTCTGGGGACATCTTATCAGACTCACACTACAGTGCTCAGGCAGGATTAACCATTTCTAAACCCAGCAGGGTTTAAATCTAGTGATAACTTTTTGGATCATAACAGAATTTGTCCATGACAAAACTCTTAACTTATAGTTAAGCATTAGGGCACTTTGGTCAGGTCCATTTCGATGCCAGAGTAGCTAGCTCATCACTTGCCCTCGGTCCATCCAGTCCCTCGTCAGGACGTTGCTTTTGGGGATCTAGGAAGTAAGGGTAACTGAGCCTTAAGTAGAGAGAACAGATATTCAGGAGGTAATATTTTTTGGAGACAATCAATTCCCAACCCACAGGCTTGTCTTTTTAACTATCTTCCTGTAACCATACAAAAAGCAACTGCTCTGAAATAGCTAGCCATGTAAAGGACAATAAGATGAAGAGAAAGACAGTATTTACAAGTCAGTGTCTGATCAGAAGACAAAGGTAATTGGCAGGTTGGGATTGACAGGTTGGGGGTCAATCAACAAACACAAGCTTCCAGTGGTCAGGGAGGAAGAGCAAACCAACGTTATCCTACATCTCATCACAGAGTTTTTAGCTTTATCCTTTTAGTGGAAAGGGAAACAAATATCTGTGTGGTGAAAATTGCATGAGCCCTCTTAGAGATGTGAAAATATTACTTTATTTTTCCATGATAGGTTTACTTTTAATCTTGAGCCCCCTTTTCAGTATGTTGTAGGAAATTTAATTAACTACTCAAGGTTTTAGCAGCTTTTTAAAAGAGACTTTAAATTTAAATCCTTTCAAATTCAAGATTTATCTCCTCTGATTCTCCCTGCAGCTGATGCTAATCACACATATATTTCAGAGCAAGGAGTTTTGAAGAGAATTCATTTATTTCTCCTTATTGATTTACCAGGTAATGACAACTAAGATGGACTATAATTTTAATATAGGTTTTGATAGTTTTTATATTTGTAACTAATCCTTGAAATTATTTTTTTCTTCTTTTTCTATTTTCTTTTTTTGTATCACCCTGAGATTTAATAACAAAACTTTCATAATTGAATTTCAGTCAGAAAATGATTGAACGTCCCTCCCTCCACCCAAAGTACATTTTACACCTCCAATGTCCCTAGTATCTCTCTCGCCACCCTCACCCAACCCCACTGCCTGCCTTTATGGCAGATACTTTCTGTCTTACTCTCTCTCTCTACTTTTGGGCATTTTGTTTGCAATACAGATACTGAGAGGCCATCATGTTTGGTCCTTTGTCTCCTTTCAGCACACATTTCTAATCTGAGCAATTCCTCCAACTCTTATTGACTTAGTGGTCCTTCCTCTATCCCAACTACTTCTCCCCACGTTCATGTGGCAGGCTTTCAACCAGGAAGCAATCCTTCTGACTTTTGTCTCTACTCTCCTTAGATATTAGTCTCAATACTCTGCTGTTTTACATTCCACAAATGAGTGCAGTCATTCTATGTCTGTCCCTTTCTTTCTGACTCTGGTGGAATGATGGGTGTTCTATTATTATATCACTGAAACACTCAATCATGAAAGCTTTGTAACTGTATCTTAAAGTAATTCAATAAAAAATAAAAAAAAAATAAAAAAGATGAAGCCAATGAAATGTTTGGATTAGATATGTGGTTATTACCTATATATATGGTAATAACCACATATGTGGTAATTATATATATATAATTATATATATATATATATATATATATATATATATATGAATGTCTTCAAGGTGGGCTGGAGCGATGGCACAGCGGGTAAGGCATTTGCCTTGCATGCAGCCAACATGGCCGACCTGAGTTCGATTTCTCCCCAGCCAGGTTCTATTCCTCTGCCCCCTCTCAGAGAGCCCTGCGAGCTACTGAGAGTATCTTGCCTTCATGGTCAAGCCTGGCAAGCTACCCGTGACGCATTTGATATGCCAAACACAGTAACAACAAAGTCTCACAATGGAGATGTTACTGAGCCCACTCGAGAAAATTGATGAACAATGGGAGGACAGTGACAGTGACAGTGTTCAAGGTTATTATACTGAAAAGTGAAAGGCCAAGTTACCATCTACTCAGATGAGAAAGATAACAGGAGAGCAACTTTCACAAGAAGCAAGGTAAATTCAATCTCAGCCATGTTAAGCTTGAGGTGTTTATTATACATTGTACAAACTCATCTTTCAGTTCCTGAGACAGTAGTAGGCTAAAGAAATAATTAGGAAGACAGAATGATGATGTTTAGAAACTCTAGAATGAATGTAATTAAGTAACGATAACAAAACCTAGGTCAGTGGTGTTGCATTCTTAAAGATGCTTTAGCTTTCATGTCATGGTAGGTTCTGCCTATATTTTTCCTCCACATACGTTATGGACTCAGGTGTGATATTGAGATCTTTAATCCATTTTCATCTGACTTTGAAACTCACTGATTCTGTCCTCAGCAGCTGTTACTCTGCTACTGAGGCGTTCCACTGAGTTTTTCATTTCACCTACCAGGTTTTCCAGATCCGTCATTTCAATTTGTAATTTTGTTTGCATTTTCATGACTTCCTCTATCATATCCTCTTTTATTTTATTGGCAGTGCATTCCATCGTTTTTATAGCTTCTTATGCATCCTTACTAGCTCCATTCTAAATTCCCTGTCAGAGAGGTTATATACATCACTATTATTGGTTGGGTCATCTGGGCTAACTTCTCACTCACTATTTCTGCATTTCTTATCCATTGTGACCTGTCCGGGTTCGACTTTCACACTCATCAGCTCATCATTACTTTGTGGTTTTGGTTAGTGTTAATTGAGGTAGGGGCTAATGAATTATTGGCCT